GGTGGTCCTGGGGGTGGTGGTCCTGGGGATGGTGGTCCTGGGGGTGGTGGTCCTGGGGGTGGTGGTCCTGGGGATGGTGGTCCTGGGGGTCCTGGGGATGGTGGTCCTGGGGGTGGTGGTCCTGGGGATGGTGGTCCTGGGGATGGTGGTCCTGGGGATGGTGGTCCTGGGGGTGGTGGTCCTGGGGATGGTGGTCCTACCCTGAACCCACTACCCTGGCGTTCCAAGCGCCGTGCTCTACCAGCTGAGCTACAGAGGACCACAATAACTTCTATACAGTATAATAATAATAATAATAATAAACATAATTTACTTTTATGTAGGCTATAACCCATATGTGTATGCTAAATAAACACAAGAGACAGCTTCTAGCTCCAACAGTGCAGTAATATCTCACAAGTAATATCTAACAATTTCACAACATCTACCCAATACACACAAAGCTAAGTAAGGAATGGATTTAAGAAAATATACATATATGGACGAGCAATGACAGAGCGGCATGGACTAAGATACAGTAGAATAGTATAGTATAGAATGCAGTATATACATATGAGATGAGTATTGCAAGATATGTAAACATTATTAAAGTGACAAGTGTTCCATTTCTTAAAGTGGCCAGTGATTTCTAGTCTATGTCTATAGGAAGCAGCCTCTAATGTGCTAGTGATATCCCCTTTAGTGTGCTTGCTATCAATCATCAGCTTCACTGGTTAATACTTAATCAGGGGAGCTAACAAAAACTTCCATGTGAATAGCATATCAGCTGTTTAAAATTGGAGATGCTTGTAAATGCTTCCGCAAATAAAGCACTGGTATATCAACTTCTACTTCACGTTCATTGTTTTATGATGGAGGGATGCTATTTGAATGACCACGTGTGTATGAACCTAATCAGCAGTCTAATCCCACGATAGCTGTAATCTGATAGATAACACAGTAGCACTCTGTTCACTCCCCACCGCGCCGAGATAAATAGCGCTAGTAATCTCATTTACCCCTTCATCTCGTCAATGGAGAATTCTCCCGTTACTTCAGTTTCCATCGTGCTCCTTCCGTACACCCCCCCCCCCCCCGCAAGTGTCCCAAACGGCACCCTATTCCCTATATAGTGCACTACTTTTGACCAGGACCTATAGCCTTAAGTTTAGCCCTTGATCATGACTCTCCGTTGCATTACATTACACATAAGAGTCAATGGACAAAGGTGTTATCTGATACACACCTTTACAGGGTTAAGGTTAGTGTTCCCACACGGCCGTATTTCCATGTTACAGCGCGTGTTTACGGAAGACAGACGGAAGACGGAAGACAGACAGAAGACGGAAGACAGACGGAAGACCGGAGGGACCACCTGTGCTAATTAGCTATCTAGCATGCTCTGAACATCTGTGTGTAACGGAAGAAGGCCGCCTGAAACGTGTTGTCACTGGAAAAAAATACTGTCGGCTGCAACTGTGATGAAGCTGGTTAACACAGTGTACTGTAAGTGTATATTTAGCATTTAGTGAAATTTATTTTTGCTGTGATATGAAAGTAAAGGGCTTTATGTTTCTCGTTTGAGAATCGCGTCACGTTTTGATGGAGTTTTGGCAGCCAGAGCCAGTCAACCTCTGGAAAAAACTAACATAGAACATCCTTGGACCTTAAGGAGTAACAGCAGGCTCCTTAAGAGTACATCTTGGACTAGGGTAAGCCTAACCGCATAGGGCCCTGGTCAAAAGTAGTGCACTACATATGGAATAAGGGTGCCATTTGGGACTTGGGGCCCCTGTGTTCAGTGAAGCAGGGGAGCGTGTGGCAGCATGTGTTCAGCCCAGCACAAAGGGAAACGCTAGGCTGTAAGCGGCGGGCCATTGTTCCTTCAACCTGTCTTTCATTACCCTTTTAGCTCACTGGGCCGCTGTGACCCTCTCCCCTCTGTCCCTCCCTCCCTCACTGGGCCGCTGTGACCCTCTCCCCTCTGTCCCTCCCTCCCTCACTGGGCCGCTGTGACCCTCTCCCCTCTGTCCCTCCCTCCCTCACTGGGCCGCTGTGACCCTCTCCCCTCTGTCCCTCCCTCCCTCACTTGGCCGCTGTGGACCCTCTCCCCTCCTGTCCCTCCTTCCCTCACGGGCCGCTGTGACCCTCTCCCCTCTGTCCCTCCCTCCCTCACTGGGCCGCTGTGACCCTCTCCCCTCTGTCCCTCCCTCCCTCACTGGGCCGCTGTGACCCTCTCCCCTCTGTCCCTCCCTCCCTCACTGGGCCGCTGTGACCCTCTCCCCTCTGTCCCTCCCTCCCTCACTGGGCCGCTGTGACCCTCTGTCCCTCCTTCCCTCACTGGGCCGCTGTGACCCTCTCCCCTCTGTCCCTCCCTCCCTCACTGGGGCCGCTGCGACCTCTGCCCTCTGTCCCCTCCCTCCCTCACTGGGCCGCTGTGACCCTCTGTCCCTCCTTCCCTCACTGGCCGCTGTGACCCTCTCCCCTCTGTCCCTCCCTCCCTCACTGGGCCGCTGTGACCCTCTCCCCTCTGTCCCTCCCTCCCTCACTGGGCCGCTGTGACCCTCTGTCCCTCCCTCCCTCACTGGGCCGCTGTGACCCTCTCCCCTCCCTCCTCCCTCACTGGGGGCCGCTGTGACCCTCTCCCCTCCCTCCCCTCCCTCACTGGGCCGCTGTGACCCTCTCCCCTCTGTCCCTCCCTCACTGGGCCGCTGTGACCCTCTCCCCTCTGTCCCTCCCTCCCTCACTGGCCGCTGTGACCCTCTCCCCTCTGTCCCTCCCTCACTGGGCCGCTGTGACCCTCTCCCCTCTGTCCCTCCCTCACTGGGCCGCTGTGACCCTCTCCCCTCCCTCCCTCCCTCACTGGGCCGCTGTGACCCTCTCCCCCTCTGTCCCTCCCTCCCTCACTGCCGCTGTGACCCTCTCCCCTCTGTCCCTCCCTCACTGGGCCGCTGTGACCCTCTCCCCTCTGTCCCTCCCTCACTGGGCCGCTGTGACCCTCTCCCCTCTGTCCCTCCCTCCCTCACTGGGCCGCTGTGACCCTCTGGTCCCTCCTTCCCTCACTGGGCCGCTGTGACCCTCTCCCCTCTGTCCCTCCCTCCCTCACTGGGCCGCTGTGACCCTCTGTCCCCTCCCTCCCTCACTGGGGCCGCTGTGACCCTCTGTCCCTCCCTCCCTCACTGGGCCGCTGTGACCCTCTCCCCCTCTGTCCCTCTCTCCCTCACTGGGCCGCTGTGACCCTCTGTCCCTCCCTCCCTCACTGGGCCGCTGTGACCCTCTGTCCCTCCTTCCCTCACTGGGCCGCTGTGACCCCTCCCCTCTGTCCCTCCCTCCCTCACTGGGCCGCTGTGACCCTCTCCCCTCTGTCCCTCCCTCCCCTCACTGGGCCGCTGTGACCCTCTCCCCTCTGTCCCTCTCTCCCTCACTGGGCCGCTGTGGACCCTCTCCCCTCTGTCCCTCCCTCCCTCACTGGGGCCGCTGTGACCCTCTCCCCCTCTGTCCCTCCCTCCCTCACTGGGCCGCTGTGACCCTCTCCCCTCTGTCCCTCCCTCCCTCACTGGGCCGCTGTGACCCTCTCCCCTCTGTCCCTCCCTCCCTCACTGGGCCGCTGTGACCCTCTCCCCTCTGTCCCTCCCTCCCTCACTGGGCCGCTGTGACCCTCTCCCCTCTGTCCCTCCTCCCTCACTGGGCCGCTGTGACCCCCTCCCTCCCTCCCTCACTGGGCCGCTGTGACCCTCTCCCCTCTGTCCCTCCCTCACTGGGCCGCTGTGACCCTCTCCCCTCTGTCCCTCCCTCACTGGCCGCTGTGACCCTCTCCCCCTCTGTCCCTCCCTCACTGGGCCGCTGTGACCCTCTCCCCCTCCCTCCCTCCCTCACTGGGCCGCTGTGACCCTCTCCCCTCTGTCCCTCCCTCACTGGGCCGCTGTGACCCTCTCCCCCTCTGTCCCTCCCTCACTGGGCCGCTGTGACCCTCTCCCCTCTGTCCCTCCCTCACTGGGGCCGCTGTGACCCTCTCCCCTCCCTCCCTCCCTCCCTCACTGGGCCGCTGTGACCCTCTCCCCCTCTGTCCCTCCCTCCCTCACTGGGCCACTGTGAACCTCTCCCCTCTGTCCCTCCCTCACTGGGCCACTGTGAACCTCTCCCCTCTGTCCCTCCCTCCCTCACTGGGCCGCTGTGACCCTCTCCCCTCTGTCTCTCCCTCACTGGGCCGCTGTGACCCTCTCCCCTCTGTCTCTCCCTCACTGGGCCACTGTGACCCTCTCCCCTCTGTCTCTCCCTCACTGGGCCGCTGTGACCCTCTCCCCTCTGTCCCTCCCTCACTGGGCCACTGTGACCCTCTCCCCTCTGTCCCTCCCTCCCTCACTGGGCCACTGTGACCCTCTCCCCTCTGTCCCTCCCTCCCTCACTGGGCCACTGTGACCCTCTCCCCTCTGTCCCTCCCTCACTGGGCCGCTGTGACCCTCTCCTCTCCCTCCCTCCCTCACTGGGCCGCTGTGACCCTCTCCCCTCCCTCCCTCACTGGGCCGCTGTGACCCTCTCCCCTCCCTCCCTCACTGGGCCGCTGTGACCCTCTCCCCTCTGTCCGTCCCTCCCTCCCTCCCTACGCCCTGCCTGTTGGCCAGCTGGCTGCCCCCATGGTGTCACTTTCCCCTGGGCTCCTGGCTGGGAGAAGGCTCGGTGTTTGTGTGTGTGTGATCAAGTGTGCCTATGTGTGTATTCAAGTGTGCCTGTATGTGTGTGTGTGTGTGATCAAGTGTGCCTATGTGTGTATTCAAGTGTGCCTGTGCCTGTGTGTGTGTGTGTGGGTGTGTGTGTGTGAGCAGGCTAGGTTGCCGTGATCGGGGGAGAGCTCCAGCTCCAGCCTACCTGTGCAGCACCACAGCCAACTGTCAGAGCCAGAAAGACACCTGACGACAGAGACCAGCCAGAGAGAGACTACCGTAGGCCAGGCGACAGGCGTGGGCCAACTGTCAGAGCCAGAGTAGGAGATAGACTAGCCATCAGCCAGGTGTGGATGTATGATGGTGCTGCACCGGGTGATCCAGGCAGCCCGGGCAGGCGATCTCTCAGCCCTGAGGAAGCTCTCCTCCTCTGGGTGCCTCACGGTCTCAGCCTCCATCACAGACGCCCAGGGGGCCGGCCCGGTGCACCACGCCGCGCGATGCGGCCGCTTGGAATGCCTGCGCTACCTGGTGGTGGAGGTGGGGCTGGCGGCCGATGCCCGGGCCCTGAACAGAGCCACACCCGCCCACGACGCTGCCGCCACTGGCCACGCCCGGGAACTGCAGTGGCTGGTGAACCAAGGGGGCTGCAACATAGAGGTGAGTCTGGTTGAGACACTGAGGGTGGACCAGAGAGTTACAACATAGAGGTGAGCCTGGTTGAGACACTGAGGGGACTGGAGAGAGGTGGAGATAAGTGGGTGTAGTTGTTGCCCTCATACATGAATGTAAAGTCCCATGGCGTCTAGCCAGCAGCCATGTATCAGGACAAGGATTACACGGAGCAGCGTGAAGACCAGTTTAGATGAGTCCATGGTACCTGGACTTCCCAGGGGTCTTGTCTCGTTCTCTGCACATGTTGTGCCTCATGAATGTGATGCTTAACCATCAGACTGTACTGCATGTAAACACTAACCCAAAGTCACATGGCTTCTGACCGTTGGGGTTCTTAATGACCGTGCTCCTAGAATAGAGGGTTACGTTGGGGTTCTTAATGACCGTGCTCCTAGAATAGAGGGTTACGTTGGGGTTCTTAATGACCGTGCTCCTAGAATAGAGGGTTACGTTGGGGTTCTTAATGACCGTGCTCCTAGAATAGAGGGTTACGTTGGGGTTCTTAATGACCGTGCTCCTAGAATAGAGGGTTAAGTTGGGGTTCTTAATGACCGTGCTCCTAGAATAGAGGGTTACGTTGGGGTTCTTAATGACCGTGCTCCTAGAATAGAGGGTTACGTTGGGGTTCTTAATGACCGTGCTCCTAAAATAGAGGGTTACGGTGGGGTTCTTAATGACCGTGCTCCTAAAACAGAGGGTTACGGTGGGGTTCTTAATGACCGTGCTCCTAGAATAGAGGGTTACGTTGGGGTTCTTAATGACCGTGCTCCTAAAACAGAGGGTGACGTTGTGTCAGTTGGCGTTCCAGATGACTGGTCACTATCTGGTGTGTCAGTTGGCGTTCCAGATGATTGGTCACTATCTGGTGTGTCAGTTGGCGTTCCAGATGATTGGTCACTATCTGTTGTGTCAGTTGGCGTTCCAGATGATTGGTCACTATCTGGTGTGTCAGTTGGCGTTCCAGATGACTGGTCACTATCTGGTGTGTCAGTTGGCGTTCCAGATGATTGGTCACTATCTGGTGTGTCAGTTGGCGTTCCAGATGACTGGTCACTATCGGGTGTGTCAGTTGGCGTTCCAGATGATTGGTCACTATCTGGTGTGTCAGTTGGCGTTCCAGATGACTGGTCACTATCTGGTGTGTCAGTTGGCGTTCCAGATGATTGGTCACTATCTGGTGTGTCAGTTGGCGTTCCAGATGATTGGTCACTATCTGGTGTGTCAGTTGGCGTTCCAGATGACTGGTCACTATCTGGTGTGTCAGTTGGCGTTCCAGATGATTGGTCACTATCTGGTGTGTCAGTTGGCGTTCCAGATGACTGGTCACTATCGGGTTTGTGTCAGTTGGCGTTCCAGATGATTGGTCACTATCGGTGTGTCAGTTGGCGTTCCAGATGATGGTCACTATCTGGTGTGTCAGTTGGCGTTCCAGATGACTGGTCACTATCTGGTGTGTCAGTTGGCGTTCCAGATGACTGGTCACTATCTGGTGGTCAGTTGGCGTTCCAGATATGGTCATATCTGGTGTGTCAGTTGGCGTTCCAGATGATGGTCCTATCTGGTGTGTCAGTTGGCGTTCCAGATGATGGTCACTATCTGGTTGTGTCAGTTGGCGTTCCAGATGACTGGTCACTATCTGGTGTGTCATTGGCGTTCCGATGATGGTCACATCTGGTGTGTCATTTGGCGTTCCAGATGCTGGTCACTATCTGGGTGTGTCAGTTGGCGTTCCAGATGACTGGTCACTATCTGGTGTGTCAGTTTGGGCGTTCCAGATGACTGGTCACTATCTGGTGTGTCAGTTGGCGTTCCAGATGACTGGTCACTATCTGGTGTGTCAGTTGGCGTTCCAGATGATTGGTCACTATCTGGTGTGTCAGTTGGCGTTCCAGATGACTGGTCACTATCTGGTGTGTCAGTTGGCGTTCCAGATGATTGGTCACTATCTGGTGTGGGTCCAGTTGGCCGTTCCAGATTACTGGTCACTATCTGGTGTGGCGTTACTTTGTTGTCCAGTAGTATTATCTCTCTCTCCTCCCCCTTTCTCTCTTCTCTCTCTCTCCTCCCCTTTTCCCTCTTCTCTCTCTCTCCTCCCCCTTTCTCTCTCTCTCTCTCTCCTCCCCTTTTCCCTCTTGTCTCCTCCCCCTTCTCTCTTCTCTCTCTCTCCTCCCCCTTTCTCTCTTCTCTCTCCTCCTCCCCCTTTCTCTCTTCTCTCTCTCTCCTCCCCCTTCTCTCTTCTCTCTCTCTCCTCCCCCTTCTCTCTTCTCCCTCTCTCTCCTTCCCCCTTCTCTCTTCTCTCCTCTCCTCCCCGCTTCTCGCTTTCTCTCTCCTCCTCCCCCTATTACTCTTCCCTCTCTCCTCCCCCTGCTCTCTCTCCTCCTCTCCGCTAGCCCTTCGACTCGTGTCTCTCATCATGCCTCGCCATCTCATCCTCTGCCTCCGCACACTTCTCTCTTCTCTCAGCCTCCGTCCCACGCTCCATCTGTTCTCTCTCAATCCTGACTCCCACGCGCGTCCTCTCTGCTTCCCACTTCTAGTCTTCTCTCGGATCCATCCCCAGCTTCTCTCTATACTCTCATGCTCCTACCCCCGTGCTCGTCTTGCTCATACTCGTCGCTGCCCCTTCTCTCTCCCTCTACTCACTAAATACCTCTGCTCTCGCCCACCCCCTTTCTCTCTTTCTCTCTCTCTCCTCCCCCATTGCTCGTCTCCCCGTCCCCCTTCCCTTCTTCTCAGTCTGCTCTCCCATCCGCCCGAGTTCTCTCTGTCTCTCTCTCTCCTCCCCCTTCTCTCTTCTCTCTCTCTCCTCCCCCTTCTCTCTTCTCTCTCTCTCCTCCCCCTTCTCTCTTCTCTCTCTCTCCTCCCCCTCTCTCTTCTCGCTCCTCCCCCTTCTCTCTCTCTCCTCCCCTTTCCCCTCTCTCTCTCTCCTCCCCCTTCCTCTTCTCTCTTCTCTCCTCTCCTCCCCCCTTCTCTCTCTCTCCTCCTCCCCTTCTCTCTTTCTCTCCTCTCCCCCCTTTTCTCTCTCTCTCTCTCTTCCCTTTCTCTCTCTCTCTCTCTCCCCCTTTCTCTCTTCTCTCTCTCTCTCTCCTCTTCCTTCTCTCTCTCTCCCCTCTTCCCCTCTCTCCTCCCCCTTTCTCCCTTCTCTCTCTCTCTCCTCCCCCCCTTTCTTCCTCTCTCTCTCTCTCTCTCCTCCCCTTTCCTCTCTTCTCTCTCTCCTCCCCTTTCTCGTTCTCTCGCTCCTCCCCCTTTCTCTTTCTCTCTCTCCTCCCCCCTTTCTCTCTTTTTTCTCTCTCTTCCTCCCCCTTTCTCTTTCTCTCTCTCTCCTCCCCCTTTCTCTCTTCCCCCTCTCTCCCGTCTCGCTCTCCCTCCCTCCCTCTCCCTGCTAAAAATATTTTCGTTGACAGTAGTGTGTAAGTCAACCCCCCTCATAGGTTCTATTTCAGTTCTTTCTCACCCTAACTCAAACCGGCCCGTCTCAACATCACCGACCTCTTGATCTCATTTAAATACAGCTGCTCCAAGTTAAAGAACACGTTCAGAGTCCCTGGTTATTGTTCAGACAAAGTGATAACATTATTCTTGGTTGGTGGTCTCTCCCATAGAGGGGACCTGTATTGCTCCAGCCTATTGTGCTTCACAACGGGAGGTGAAAAGGGCAAGAATATGTTTAAATCATTCATTAACATTCCCTTACATGATTGAAGATGTATTAATCTGATTATGCTGTACTCAACTGGGTGGGAGTAAGTGATCTGTAAGCTTTAGGTTTGATAGATGTTCATATGCCAATAGGGGTGTTCAGACAGTTGACCCCTAGGATTATGTTCTTGTGATGATGTCATAATATGATTGGCTTCTTGGATGGATTTTCATAACATGTCTTTGTGCTCTGTGTTGATACAGTAGAACCATTATGAATAGATCTCTGGGTCTGTTTTGTTTTCTAGCCGTAATATATTACAGTATGCAGACATATCTATGGTTGTGTGTGTAAATGTGCAAGGTAAATCAATCCTTAAAATAATTTGGTAACACTGTACTTAAAACCTGCAGGTATAATGCATTATGATGCCGTTATAACACATTCATAAGACTGTCATGATAATGTATGTCTTCTAATCATCTCATCCTGACTTAATCCAAGCTATTGATTTGTGTCTCTCTCTCTGGTTGTTTGTAGGACCAGGATGCAGCCGGGGCGACAGCGCTCCATCTCGCAGCCCGGTTCGGACGGGTAGAGGTCGTCCATTGGCTGCTGTTGGTTGGGGGCGTGGCCGAGGAGACGACAGACTGTGGGGCAGTCCCCGCCCATTACGCTGCTGCCAAGGGAGACCTTACCTGTCTGAAACTACTGGTCCACCAAGCACCTGGGTAGGACCAAAGATGAACAACATGTATGGATAGGACTGCTGCCTCTACACGTCTATCCAGTCAATGTGTTGGATGGTTGATTGTTGTCACTGCTTGTCTTACAGTGGTCATAGTGGAGAATATAGTCCTCATTGTCCTACAGTGGTCATAGTGGAGAATATAGTCCTCATTGTCCTACAGTGGTCATAGTGGAGAATATAGTCCTCATTGTCATAGTGGAGAATATAGTCCTCATTGTCCTAGTGGTCATAGTGGAGAATATAGTCCTCATTGTCCTAGTGGTCATAGTGGAGAATATAGTCCTCATTGTCCTAGTGGTCATAGTGGAGAATATAGTCCTCATTGTCCTACAGTGGTCATAGTGGAGAATATAGTCCTCATTGTCATAGTGGAGAATATAGTCCTCATTGTCCTAGTGGTCATAGTGGAGAATATAGTCCTCATTGTCCTACAGTGGTCATAGTGGAGAATATAGTCCTCATTGTCTTACAGTGGTCATAGTTGAGAATATAGTCCTCATTGTCCTACAGTGGTCATAGTGGAGAATATAGTCCTCATTGTCCTACAGTGGTCATAGTGGAGAATATAGTCCTCATTGTCCTAGTGGTCATAGTGGAGAATATAGTCCTCATTGTCCTAGTGGTCATAGTGGAGAATATAGTCCTCATTGTCCCACAGTGGTCATAGTGGAGAATATAGTCCTCATTGTCCTAGTGGTCATAGTGGAGAATATAGTCCTCATTGTCCTAGTGGTCATAGTGGAGAATATAGTCCTCATTGTCCTACAGTGGTCATAGTGGAGAATATAGTCCTCATTGTCCTACAGTGGTCATAGTGGAGAATATAGTCCTCATTGTCCTACAGTGGTCATAGTGGAGAATATAGTCCTCATTGTCCTACAGTGGTCATAGTGGAGAATATAGTCCTCATTGTCCCACAGTGGTCATAGTGGAGAATATAGTCCTCATTGTCCTACAGTGGTCATAGTGGAGAATATAGTCCTCATTGTCCTACAGTGGTCATAGTGGAGAATATAGTCCTCATTGTCCTACAGTGGTCATAGTGGAGAATATAGTCCTCATTGTCCTACAGTGGTCATAGTGGAGAATATAGTCCTCATTGTCCCACAGTGGTCATAGTGGAGAATATAGTCCTCATTGTCCTACAGTGGTCATAGTGGAGAATATAGTCCTCATTGTCCTACAGTGGTCATAGTGGAGAATATAGTCCTCATTGTCCCACAGTGGTCATAGTGGAGAATATAGTCCTCATTGTCCTAGTGGTCATAGTGGAGAATATAGTCCTCATTGTCCTACAGTGGTCATAGTGGAGAATATAGTCCTCATTGTCCTACAGTGGTCATAGTGTATTTGTTGATTGAACAGGAAGTAGTGGTGGTAAGACATGATGAACCCTAACCTTAAGTTGACCCAGAGAGGTAACCACAGGGTATCCCATGACTCCTCTCACTCTGCCCCGCTGACATGTGATCGCCAGGGCATGGGACACACACACGACCCATCCAGGTCAGCCACCTCGAAACCCCACAGAGATTCACACACGATGGGTGATGGCACCATGGCAACCATGCCACTCTACTTTGTTTCATTCAGGGGGTTAGGTTAGGTTAGAGCCAGGTTAGGGTAGGTTAAGGCCGGGCCAGGTTAAGTTAAGGCCAGGTCAGGTTAGGTTAGGTTAAGGCCAGTTTAGGTTAGGTTAAGGCCAAGTTAGGGCCAGGTTAGGTTAGGTTAACGTTAGGTTAGGGTTAGGTTAAGGTCAGGTCAGGTTAGGTTAAGGTTAGGTTAAGGTTAGGTTAAGGCCAGGTCAGGTTAAGGCCAGGTCAGGTCAGGTTAGGTTAAGGCCAGGTCAGGTTAAGGCCAGGTCAGGTTAGGTTAAGGCCAGGCTAGGTTAAGGCCAGGTCAGGTTAAGTTAACGTTAGGTTAGGGCTAGGTTAAGGTCAGGTCAGGTTAGGTTAAGGTTAGGTTAAGGTTAGGTTAAGGCCAGGTCAGGTTAAGGCCAGGTCAGGTTAGGTTAGGTTAAGGCCAGGTTAGGTTAAAGTTAAGGTTAGGTTAAGGCCAGGTCAGGTTAGGTTAAGGCCAGGTCATGTTAGGTTAAGATTAGGTTAGGTTAAGGTTAGGTTAGGGCCAGGTTAAGGCCAGGTTAGGTTAAGGCCAGGTCAGGTTAGGTTAGGTTAGGTTAAGGCCAGGTTAGGGTTAACCTGGCCGTAACCTAGCCTGGCCTTAACCTATCCTAACCTGGCCTTAACCTAACCTGGCCCTAACCTATCCTAACCTGGCCTTAACCTAACCTAACCTGGCCTTAACCTAACCTATCCTAAACTGGCCTTAACCTAACCTGGCCCTAACCTAACCTAACCTGACCTTTTAACCTAATGTTAACATTACTGTATAACTGTAGTTGTATAAAGTATTATCTGCCACTAACATTACTGTATAACTGTAGTTTTATAATGTATTATCTGCCCACTAACATTACTGTATAACTGTAGTTTTATAATGTATTATCTGCCCACTAACATTACTGTGTAACTGGAGTTGTATAATGTACATTCTGGTGTCATCTTCACGATGCCTCCCTGTGTGTTTCTTCCACCAGGTGTGTGAACCGTCAGACCGGAATCGGTGCCACCCCTCTGTACCTGGCGTGTCAGGAGGGCCACCTGCATGTAGTGGAGTACCTGGTGAAGGACTGCGGGTCGGACGTACACCTCAGGGCCCATGATGGCATGACCGGCCTGCACGCTGCTGCACACATGGGTCACCATGCCCTGGTGGTCTGGCTGGTAAGTGGACTGCATGCCAATATGCTGTAGAACAGTGTTCCCTCAAACCTCTCCTTGAGTACCCACCAGTTTATTGCACTTATTTTATATTTTCCAGTACATATATTATTATTTAGCCAGAAATCTTTCTGATTGAGAGGGGGTCAAATACTTATTTCCCTCATTAAAATGCAAATCAATTTATAACATTTTTGACATGGGTTTTTCTGGATTTTTTTGTTGTTATTCTGTCTCTCACTGTTCAAATAAACCTACCATTAAAATTATAGACTGATCATTTCTTTGTCAGTGGGCAAACGTACAAAATCAGCAGGGGATCAAATACTTTTTTCCCTCACTTTAGTAACCAAAAAAGTGTTAAACAAATCAAAATATATTTTATATTTGAGATTCTTTAACTAGCCACCCTTTGCCTTGATGACAGCTTTGCACACTCTTGGCATTCTCTCAACCAGCTTCATGAGGTAGTAACCTGGAATGCATTTCAATTAACAGATGTGCCTTCTTAAAAGTTAATTTGTGGAATTTCTTTCCTTCTTAATGCGTTTGAGCCAATCAGTTGTGTTGTGACAAGGTAGGGGGGGTATACAGAAGATAGCCCTATTTGGTAAAAGACCAAGTCCATATTATGGTAAGAACAGCTCAAATAAGCAAAGAGAAACGACAGTCCATCATTACTTTAAGACATGAAGGTCAGTCAATACGGAACATTTCAAGAACTTTGAACGTTTCTTCAAGTGCAGTCGCAAAAACCATCAAACGTTATAATGAAACTGACTCATGAGGACCGCCACAGGAATGGAAGACCCAGAGTTACTTCTGCTGCAGAGGATAAGTTCATTAGAGTTACCAGCCTCATAAATTGCAACCCAAAAAAATGCTTCACAGAGTTCAAGTAACAGACACATCTCAACATCAACTGTTCAGAGGGGACTGTGTGAATCAGGCCTCCATGGTCGATTTACTGCAAAGAAACCACTACTTAAGGACACCAATAAGAAGAAGAGACCTGCTTGGGGCAAGAAACAGGAGCAATGGACATTAGACCATTGGAAATGTGTCCTTTGGTCTGGTGTACAAATTGAAGATTTTTGGTTCCAACCGCCTTGGCTTTGTGAGACACGGTGTGGGTGAATGGATGATCTCTGCATGTGTAGTTCCCACCGTAAAGCATGGAGGAGGAGGTGTTATGGTGTGGGGGTGCTTTGCTGGTGACACTGTCTGTGATTTATTTAGAATTCAAGGCACAATTAACCAGAATGGCTACCACAGCATTCTGCAGTGATACGCCATCCCATCTGGTTTGGGCTTAGTGGGACTATCATTTGTTTTTCAACAGGACAATGACACACCTCCAGGCTGTGGAAGGGCTATTTTACCAAGAAGGAGAGTGATGGAGTGCTGCATCAGATGACTTGGCCTCCACAATCACCCGACCTCAACCTAATTGAGATGGTTTGGGATGAGTGAAGGAAAAGCAACCAACAAGTGCTCAGCATATGTGGGAACTCCTTCAAGACTGTTGAAAAAGCATTCCAGGTGAAGCTGGTTGAGAGAATGCCAAGAGTGTGCAAAGCTGTCATCAAGGCAAAGAGTGGCTACTTTGAAGAATCTCAAATATAAAATATATTTTGATTTTTTTAACACTTTTTTTGGTTACTACATGATTCCATATGTGTTATTTCATAGTTTTGATGTCTTCACTATTATTCTACAATGTAGAAAATAGTAAAAATAAAGAAAAACCTTTGAATGAGTAGGTGTGTCCAAACTTTTGACTGGTAGTGTATATACACACATATACACACACGTTTTAAAAATATATATTCCTTTATTATTTTCCCCTAACCCTACCACCCCTCTCCTAATTGGAGTAAACTAATGGACAACAACACTTAGGCTTCTACTTCCAGCTTATACATACTATATACATTTTACGGACACAATGTATTTTACAATAGTTATATTTTGTTTGTTTTTAACCCCATCATTCAGCTACCATCAACCCCTCCCATCTATCTCTGAAGCCAATCCAGTTTGAGTTCTATTTTGCGTATATTTTTAACTGAGCTGTTTCACAAAAGTTCTGAACCTATATACATTTTACAGACACAGTATATTTTACATTAGTTACTTGTTGTTTTTAATCCCACCCATCAGCTCCACCACAGATGGTATTAGTTCACTATGTTGAGTTATAAGGTCCTGCGACAGACAAGCTTCCTTTCCAGGAGGTGTTCTTATTCATCAAAGGCTTACTTACTTATGTTGAGACAACATTCTCCTCCCCTGTCATTTGTCCCTCGCAGGCCACCTTAACATTCTGGTCTGTTGACATTTGTAACTCATAGGCCACCTTCACAGACCTTAGCCTGCAGTGCCAGGACAGGGAGGGGGCGACTGCTCTTCACTTCGCGGCCAGTGGGGGGCACCATCGCATCCTGGAGAGGCTGCTCCGCATGGGGGCAAAGGTCATCAGAGACTACTGGGGGGGAACCCCTCTACATGATGCAGCTGAAAACGGAGAGCTGGAGGTGAGAGATATGACAAGATCAGACTCTCAGAGTAGGAGTGCTGATCTAGGATCTGGTCCCCCTTGTCCATGTAATCTGATTCACAGTGGTCTAAAAGTTAAAACTGATCGTAAATCAGAACTCCTAACTATCTACAGTATATTGAAGTCATAGTAACAGAGGTTTGATTCAGTCTGTTTGCTAACTGTTACCCCTCCTTCTAGTGCTGCAGGATCCTGTTAGCCAACCAGGTGAGCCCATCAGAGCAGGACATAGATGGGTTCACAGCAGCAGACCTGGCAGAGTACAACGGACACTACGACTGTGCCGGCTACCTCCGAGCCGTGGAGACATGCGTAAGACCCAAAACCTCTGGCTACCTCCGAGCCGTGGAGACATGCGTAAGACCCAAAACCTCCGGCTACCTCCGAGCCGTGGAGACATGCGTAAGACCCAAAACCTCCGGCTACCTCCGAGCCGTGAAGACATGCATAAGACCCAAAACCTCCGGCTACCTCCGAGCCGTGGAGACATGCGTAAGACCCAAAACCTCCGGCTACCTCCGAGCCGTGGAGACATGCGTAAGACCCAAAACCTCCGGCTACCTCCGAGCCGTGAAGACATGCGTAAGACCCAAAACCTCCGGCTACCTCCGAGCCGTAGAGACATTCGTAAGACCCAAAACCTCCGGCTACCTCCGAGCCGTGAAGACATGCGTAAGACCCAAAACCTCCGGCTACCTCCGAGCCGTAGAGACATTCGTAAGACCCAAAACCTCCGGCTACCTCCGAGCCGTGAAGACATGCGTAAGACCCAAAACCTCCGGCTACCTCCGAGCCGTGGAGACATGCGTAAGACCCAAAACCTCCGGCTACCTCCGAGCCGTGGAGACATGCGTAAGACCCAAAACCTCCGGCTACCTCCGAGCCGTAGAGACATGCGTAAGACCCAAAACCTCCGGCTACCTCCGAGCCGTGGAGACATGCGTAAGACCCAAAACCTCCGGCTACCTCCGAGCCGTGGAGACATGCGTAAGACCCAAAACCTCCGGCTACCTCCGAGCCGTGAAGACATGCGTAAGACCCAAAACCTCCGGCTACCTCCGAGCCGTAGAGACATGCGTAAGACCCAAAACCTCTCCCTTTATACCATATTTCTTAGTTCAGAATTTATTTTCTTGTTTTGTGGCCTCTGTAACTGTATATTGTTCCCAAGCATATTTTTTTGCATTAGAATCCAAGTCGGAACAAGCTTTAAAACATCTATAAAGAGGAAAACTGTTTGTCTCTTACAGTCGTGTTGTGATTTGAGACTGTCCGTGTGTCTAGTGTTCAGACCTTAAGCCTTGTTCACACTGCAGGCCTTAATGCTCAAATCAGTTTTATTTTTCAAAATCCATTTTGGAATACGGACTGTCCAAACAGCAAGTTACAAGTGACCAAATCGGATTTTGTGTGTGTGTGTGTTCAGACAGCAGTCATTTGCTGACATGGCTACGCTAGTTGTCATAGTAACGACGGGTGCGCGCAGTGGTGTAGGCTGATTTGGTCAGTGGTGCTCGTGCTTCCTGTCACTCTGAAGTTATGTAGCAAGCGAAGGTGACAGCAGTGCCTGCCATGGACGTTTCCCCAGTTGCTTTGAATGTTCAAAATGAAAGTGTAAGAGAACTTTTAAACCCTCAAAGGATAAAGATGATCCAACTTTCAAAACGAGTCCTTTTTGGCTAGCCACAGCAGCCAACTAGCTGTTTAGCTTTCTAGCACATGCGCTCATTTGTTTGTAAACAATTAACAAGCTAGTTGGCTACCACATGTTCTTGTCAAACTGTCAACAGTAGGTAGCAAGCAACAATATATGCCAAATAACAGTCTAAAAACCACTTGAGTTCAAATAAATTCGATTTGACCGTTCAGACACAAGTCACATGGCCAGGAATCAGATCACTCAATCAATCACATTTTTATTTATAAAGCCCTTTTTACATCAGCAGATGTCACAAAGTGCTATACAGAATCCCAGCCTAAAACCCCAAACAGCAAGCAATGCAGATGTAGAAGCACGGTGGCTAGGAAAAATTCCCTAGAAAGGCAGAAACCTAGGAAGAAACCTAGAGAGGAACCAGGCTGTGCCGGGTGGAGATTATAACAGTACATGGCCATTAAGGACAGATTTTTCTCCAAGATGTTCAAACGTTCATAGATGACCAGCAGGGTCAAATAATAATCACAGTGGTTGTAGAGGTTGCAACAGGTCAGTACATCAGGAGTAAATGTTATTAGCTTAGTATAGGGGAGTGTACACTAGATATAGAGGAGTGTACACAAGATATAGGGGAGTGTACACTAGATATAGGGGAGTGCACACTAGATATAGGGGAGTGCACACTAGATATAGGGGAGTGTACACTAGATATAGGGGAGTGTACACTAGATATAAGGGAGTGTTCAATAGATATAGGGGAGTGTACACTAGATATAGAGAAGTGTACACTAGATATATCAGAGTGTACACTAGATATAGGGGAGTGCACACTAGATATAGGGGAGTGCACACTAGACATATGAGTGTACACTAGATATAGGGGAGTGTACACTAGATATAGGGGAGTGTACACTAGATATAGGGGAGTGTACACTAGATATAAGGGAGTGTTCAATAGATATAGGAGAGTGTACACTAGATATAGGAGAGTGTACACTAGATATAGAGGAGTGTTCAATAGATATAGGGGAGTGTTCAATAGATATAGGGGAGTGTACACTAGATATAGAGGAGTGTTCAATAGATATAGGGGAGTGTACACTAGATATAGGGGAGTGTACACTAGATATAGGGGAGTGTACAATAGATATAGGGGAGTGTACACTAGATATAGAAGAGTGTACACTAGATATAGAAAAGTGTAAACTAGATATAGGGGAGTGTTCAATAGATATAGGAGAGTGTTCAATAGATATAGGGGAGTGTACACTAGATATAGAAGAGTGTAAACTAGATATAGGGGAGTGTAAACTAGATATAGGGGAGTGTACACTGCATCGCAGTGCTAGCTGTGCCACTAGAGATCCTGGTTCGAATCCAGGCTCTGCTGTAGCCGGCTGCAACCGGGAGACCAATGGGGCGGCGCACAATTGGCCCAGCGTCGTCCAGGGTAGGGGAGGGAATGGCCGGCAGGGATGTAGCTCAGTTGGTAGAGCATGGCGTTTGCAACGCCAGGGTTGTGGGTTCGATTCCCACGGGGGGCCAGTATGAAAAAAAAATAAAGAATAATGTATGCACTAACTGTAAGTTGCTCAGGATAAGAGCATCTGCTAAATAATGTAAAATGTAAAAAAAAATGTAAACTAGTGTACACTAGATATAGGGGAGTGTACACTAGATATAGGGGAGTGTTCAATAGATATAGGGGGAGTGTACACTAGATATAGGGGAGTGTTCAATAGATATAGGGGAGTGTACACTAGATATAGGGGAGTGTACACTAGATATAGGGAAGTGTACACTAGATATAGGGAAGTGTACACTAGATATAGGGAAGTGTACACTAGATATAGGGGAAGTGTACACTAGATATAGGGGAGTGTACACTAGATATAGGGGAGTGTACACTAGATATAGGGAGTGTACACTAGATATAAGGGGAGTGTACAATAGATATAGGGGAGTGTACAATAGATATAGGGGAGTGTACACTAGATATAGGGGAGTGTACACTAGATATAGGGGAGTGTACACTAGATATAGGGGAGTGTACACTAGATATAGGGGAGTGTACACTAGATATAGGGGAGTGTACACTAGATATAGGGGAGTGTACACTAGATATAGGGGAGTGTACACTAGATATAGGGGAGTGTACACTAGATATAGGGGAGTGTACACTAGATATAGGGGAGTGTACACTAGATATAGGGGAGTGTACACTAGATATAGGGGAGTGTACACTAGATATAGGGGAGTGTACACTAGATATAGGGGAGTGTACACTAGATATAGGGGAGTGTACACTAGATATAGGGGAGTGTACACTAGATATAGGGGAGTGTACACTAGATATAGGGGAGTGTACACTAGATATAGGGGAGTGTTCAATAGATATAGAGAAGTGTACACTATATATAGGGGAGTGTACACTAGATATAGGGGAGTGTACAATAGATATAGGGGAGTGTACACTAGATATAGGGGAGTGTACACTAGATATAGAGAAGTGTACACTATATATAGGGGAGTGTACAATAGATATAGGGGAGTGTACACTAGATATAGGGGAGTGTACAATAGATATAGGGGAGTGTACACTAGATATAGGGGAGTGTACACTGGATATAGGGGAGTGTTCAATAGATATAGGGGAGTGTACACTAGATATGAGAGTGTACACTAGATATAGGGGAGTGTTCAATAGATATAGGGGAGTGTACACTAGATATAGTGGAGTGTTCAATAGCTATAGAGGAGTGTACTCTTTCAACTGGACATAGTTCTCTACCACATTGCTATACGATGTGTAATACTCTAGAATACTGATCTATCTGGAAGTTCCAACCCTAATGGTTGCTTTTGACACTACAGTCAATATGTCCGATAGCGGCTGTAATATACAGAGGCAATAAGGATCTGGGAAAACATGAAATGTTGATGGACACAGAGCATGAACTTATGACCCCCCATGATCCATCCCATGACCACATGATGTCCAGATAGTTACATCACATGTATTGTTGTGTGTGTGTGTTGTTGTGTGTGTGTGTGTATTGTTATGTGTGTGTGTGTGTGTGTGTTATGTGTGTGTGTGTAGTTATGTGTGTGTATTGTTATGTGTGTGTGTGTGTGTTGTTGTGTGTGTGTATTGTTGTGTGTGTGTTGTTGTGTGTGTGTTATGTGTGTGTGTGTAGTTATGTGTGTGTGTTGTTGTTGTTATATGTGTGTGTTGTTATGTGTGTGTATTGTTAGGTGTGTGTGTGTGTGTGTGTATATTGTTATGTGTGTGTGTGTGTGTGTGTTGTTGTGTGTGTGTGTGTTGTTATGTGTGTGTGTTGTTGTGTGTGTTGTTGTGTGTGTTGTTGTGTGTGTGCTCGCCTCAGTCCACCACGTCCACAGTTCTACATACCCATAAATACCCAGTGATGTGTCCCCTACACAGTGATAGCAGCTCTCCGCCTGGCAGCCCATAGATACCCAGTGATGTGTCCCCTACACAGTGATAGCAGCTCTCTGCCTGGCAGCCCATAGATACCCAGTGATGTGTCCCCTACACAGTGATAGCAGCTCTCTGCCTGGCAGCCCATAGATACCCAGTGATGTGTCCCCTACACAGTGATAGCAGCTCTCTGCCTGGCAGCCCATAGATACCCAGTGATGTGTCCCCTACACAGTGATAGCAGCTCTCTGCCTGGCAGCCCATAGATACCCAGTGATGTGTCCCCTACACAGTGATAGCAGCTCTCTGCCTGGCAGCCCATAGATACCCAGTGATGTGTCCCCTACACAGTGATAGCAGCTCTCTGCCTGGCAGCCCATAGATACCCAGTGATGTGTCCCCTACACAGTGATAGCAGCTCTCTGCCTGGCAGCCCATAGATACCCATTGATGTGTCCCCTACACAGTGATAGCAGCTCTCTGCCTGGCAGCCCATAGATACCCATTGATGTGTCCCCTACACAGTGATAGCAGCTCTCTGCCTGGCAGCCCATAGATACCCATTGATGTGTCCCCTACACAGTGATAGCAGCTCTCTGCCTGGCAGCCCATAGATACCCATTGATGTGTCCCCTACACAGTGATAGCAGCTCTCTGCCTGGCAGCCCATAGATACCCATTGATGTGTCCCCTACACAGTGATAGCAGCTCTCTGCCTGGCAGCCCATAGATACCCATTGATGTGTCCCCTACACATGTGACATGTTAGAATGAGGATGGAAAGACTATGCACTCCAAATGGCACCCTATTCCCATAGAGCACCGGTCAAAAGTAGTGCACTACATAGGGAATAGGGGGTGGCATTTGGGGCGTACCCAGCGAAGCTTGGCTCCCGGGGGATAGCTTCACCTCCCCCTCCACCTGAAATAATCCTCCTGCCTCCTGTTAACAACGGGACTGCTAATTAACTGTGGAGCCGCTGGCGCTGCAGTGTTGCAGCTGCTGTTTGGAGACGCCGTGAGCCCCTGGGACCTATCAGTTACCCCAGATAGGAAGCTCAGGTGGCGGGGAGAGGGCCTGGCCTATGGGGCCTGAGCCGGTTATGAGATCTGATGTCTTCGGTTTCACCATTTTCACTGCAGTTCTGATGCCTGGAACCGGAAACTCTATCCCTCAGGAGCAGGATGTCATGTTGGCTTCAAACACACGTCCTCCTCGGTTTGATTGTGTGTCATGTTCTGTTTCCAGATCACCCATTACACATAGCATATCATATTATGGTGGTTTAGTTTAGATTAGAATAGGGCTGTTCTCAACAAAGGCCCTAAAATTTGGTGTAAAGTGTAAACTCTCAAGGATAATGCTTGTACTTTTTTATCTATTTAATCCCATGAAATTGAAGTCATTGCAACAGTAGTTCTGTGAAAAACGTGCAGTATAAATCCACTGGGTCGTTTTAATTACATGTCCCTTAGTGTCACACTTTCACAGGGTTGTAGGGTTTCTGTCCGTTCTAAAGTGTCAGTCCGTCACTTCGTCTCATTTCCGATTGGCAGCTTTTAATGGGCCGGTAGCCAGAGAGTTGCGTGCTAGGTTTTTCATCATGTTTGGTTTTCTCCGAAAGAGATCACCTTCCCTCCTCCTTATTTAGCTAGCATTCTGCTACAGTCAGCCAGCCAGCCAGCCAGCCAGCCAGCCAGTCAGCAAGCCAGCCAGTCAGCCAGCCAGCCAGCCAGTCAGCAAACCAGCCAGTCAGTCAGCGAGCCAGCCAACCAGTCAGCCAGCCAGTCAGCCAGCCAGTCAGCCATCCAGTCAGTCAGCCATCCAGCCAGCCAGCCAGTCAGCCATCCAGCCAGCCAGCCATCCAGTCAGCCAGCCATCCAGCCATCCAGCCAGCCATCCAGTCAGCCAGCCATCCAGCCATCCAGTCAGCCAGCCATCCAGCCATCCAGCCAGCCATCCAGTCAGCCAGCCAGCCATCCAGTCAGCCAGCCATCCAGCCATCCAGTCAGCCAGCCATCCAGCTAGTCAGCCAGTCAGCCATCCATCCATCCATCCATCCAGTCAGCCAGCCATCCAGTCAGCCAGCCATCCAGCCAGCCAGCCAGCCAGCCATCCAGTCAGCCAGCCATCCAGCCATCCAGTCAGCCAGCCATCCAGCTAGTCAGCCAGTCAGCCATCCATCCATCCATCCAGTCAGCCAGCCAGTCAGCCATCCATCCATCCATCCATCCAGTCAGCCAGCCAGCCAGCCAGTCAAAGTTTGCTGCTTCAGTGTTATGAGATATTTTTGTCAGATGTTACTATGGTATACTGAAGTATAATTACAAGAATTCCATAAGTGTCAAAGGCTTTTATTGACAATTACATTAAGTTTATGCAAAGAGTCAATATTTGCAGTGTTGACCCTTCTTTTTCAAGACCTCTGCAATCCGCCCTGGCATGCTGTCAATTAACTTCTGGGCCACATCCTGACTGATGGCAGCCCATTCTTGAATAATCAATGCTTGGAGTTTGTCAGAATTTGTGGGTTTTTGTTTGTCCACCCGCCTCTTGAGGATCGACCACAAGTTCTCAATGGGATTAAGGTCTGGGGAGTTTCCTGGCCATGGACCCAACATTTCAATGTTTTGTACCCCGAGCCACTTAGTTATCACTTTTGCCTCATGGCAAGGTGCTCCATCATGCTGGAAAAGGCATTGGTCATCACCAAACTGTTCTTGGATGGTTGGGAGAAGTTGCTCTCGGAGGATGTGTTGGTACCATTCTTTATTCATGGCTGTGTTCTTAGGCAAAATTGTGAGTGAGCCCACTCCCTTGGCTGAGAAGCAACCCCACACATGAATGGTCTCAGGATGCTTTAATGTTGTCATGACACAGGACTGATGGTAGCGCTCACCTTGTCTTCTCCGGACAAGGTGTTTTCCGGATGCCCCAAACAATCGGAAAGGGGATTCATCAGAGAAAATGACTTTACCCCAGTCCTCAGCAGTCCAATCCCTGTACCTTTTGCAGAATATCAGTCTGTCCCTGATGTTTTTCCTGGAGAGAAGTGGCTTATTTGCTGCCTTTCTTGACACCAGGCCATCCTCCAAAAGTCTTCGCCTCACTGTGCGTGCAGATGCACTCACACCTGCCTGCTGCCATTCCTGAGCAAGCTCTGCACTGGTGGTGCCCCGATCCTGCAGCTGAATACACTTTAGGAGACGGTCCTGGCGCTTGCTGGACTTTCTTGGGCGCCCTGACGCCTTCTTCACAACAATTGAACCGCTCTCCTTGAAGTTCTTGATGATCTGATAAATGGTTGATTTAGGTGCAATCTTACTAGCAGCAATATCCTTGCCTGTGAAGCCCTTTTTGTGCAAAGCAATGATGACGGCACGTGTTTCCTTGCAGGTAACCATGGTTAACAGAGGAAGAACAATGATTTCAAGCACCACCCTCCTTTTAAAAGCTTCCCGTCTGTTATTCTAACTCAATCAGCATGACAGAGTAATCTCCAGCCTTGTCCTCGTCAACACTCTCACCTGTGTTAACGAGAGAATCACTGACATGATGGCAGCTGGTCCTTTTGTGGCAGGGCTGAAATGCAGTGGAAATGTTTTTGGGGGATTAAGTTCATTTTCATGGCAAAGAGGGACTTTGCAATCTATTGCAATTCATCTGATCACTCTTCATGACATTCTGGAGTATATGCAAACTGCCATCATCAAAACTGAGGCAGCAGACTTTGTGAAAATTAGTATTTGTGTCATTCTCAAAACGTTTGACCACGACTGTAGTGCACTACTTTTGACCAGAGCCCTGTTAATTAGTGCACTATGTAGGGAATAGGGTGCCATTTGGGACGCAGACGAGGACTTCCGCTCTTCATTCACACAGAAAGACAGTGGACTTCTTGAAATGTGATATTTATTTTTTTTTACATTGGAAAGTCAAGAAAGGGCCTTCACAATGATAAGCTGAAACAGAGATAATGATCAGCTGAAACAGAGATAATGATCAGCTGAAACACGTTTCCACTTCACAATAACAGCACTTACAGTTGACCGGGGCAGAAATTTGACGAACTGACTTGTTGGAAAGGTGGCGTCCTATGACAGCTCTTCAGTAAGGCCATTCTACTGCCAATGTTTGTCTGTGGAGATTGCATGGCGGTGTGCTCAGTTGTATACACCTGTCAGCAACGGGTGTGGCTGAAATAGCTGAATCCACTAATTTGAATTGATGTCCACATACTTTTTGTGTATAAAGTGTCTATTTTCCAGCTGCTTTGACAGCCTTAGGTATCGTCCCAACTGGCACCCTATTCCCTATGGGCCCTGGTCAAAAGTAGTGCACTATAAAGGGAACAGGGTGCCATTGGGACACTACCTTAGTTCCGCTGACAGTTCTCTTCCTTTGTTCGGTGCCACAGCAACATAGCTGTTGGTTTGTCCTGCATTAGGGACATTACCGGCCATCCCATCCTACACCTTAATAATTAACACCATTCTCCGATCAGTGTTATTGTTTATTGGCTGGCAGGGCGGCAGTGTGGAGGCTGGCTGTCTGTTCATGGGGGTGTCAAACGCCTACCTGAATGACTGGCTGCCTGGTTACCTGGCAGGCTAGACGGCTGACTGACTGACTGGGTGGGATCTATCGGCAGATTCTGTCACGTCCTCATCATTGAGGGCCGACCGACCGGATAACTAACTAACTAATTGACTGACTGCAAGACGTAGCATCACTCGGGTCTGAGCCGTAAGTTACTTATTGATTTTGTTGATTGCTATGGCTTTATTTGATACACTGCTTTTAAGTCAAATGCTTGTCAATAGTGTTGATTCATTAATTAACTAGGCCAGGGGTAGGCAACTATACTGAACAAAAATATAAAACGCAACATGCAACAGTTTCTAAGATTTTACTGAGTTACAGTTCATATAAGGAAATCAGTCAATTGAAAAAAATTCAGTAGGTCCTAATTGATGGATTTCACATGACTGGGATGTTTTCGTTGTCCGTAGCTTATGCCTGCCCATACCATAACCCCAACGACACCATGGGGCACTCTGTTCACAACGTTGAAATCAGCAAACCGCTCTCCCACACATCGCCATACACGTGGTCTGCGGTTTTGAGGCTGGTTAGATGTACTGCCAAATTATCTAAAACGACGTTGGAAGCAGTGTCGTGTGTTCATGGATGCCAAGGGAAGCCAGGCTTCCCAAAAATATTTACAAAGAAAACAATTCTAAAACATAAAAAAATATATCTCTGTGTTTCATAATTTTCCTTCAATTCGCAAGAGGCTGAATGTACACTACATGACCAAAAGTATGTGGAAACCTGCTCGTCCAACATCTCATTCCAAAATCATGGGCATTAATATGGAGTTGGTCCCCCCTTTGCTGCTATAACAGCCTCCACTCTTCTGGGAAGGCTTTCCACTAGATGTTGGAACATTGCTGCGTGGATTTGCTTCCATTCAGCCACAAGAGCATTAGTGAGGTCGGGCACTGATGTTGGGCGATTAGGCCTGGCTCGCAGTCGGTGTTCCAATTCATCCCAAAGGTGTTCGAATGGCGTTGAGGTCAGGGCTCTGTGCATGCCAGTCAAGTTCTTCCACACCAATCTCGACAAACCATTTCTGTATGGACCTCGCTTTGTGCACGGGGGGCATTATCATGCTGAAACGGGTAAGGACCTTCCCCAAACTGTTGCCACCAAGTTGGAAACACAGAATCGTCTAGAATGTCATTGTATGCTGTAGCGTTAAGATTTCCCTTCACTGGAACTAAGGGGCCTAACCCGAACCATGAAAAACAGCCCCAGACCATTATTCCTCCTCCACCAAACTTTATACAGTTGGCACTATGTATTGGGGCAGGTAGCGTTCTCCTGGCATCCGCCAAATCCAGATTCGTCCGTCGGACTGCCAGATGCGTGATTCATCACTCCAGAGAACGCGTTTCCACTGCTCCAGTCCAATGGCAGTGAACGTTATACCACTTCACAGCATAGTGTGTTACCAATTGTTTTCTTGGTGACTATGGTCCCAGCTGCCTTGAAATCATTGACAAGATCCTCCCGTGTAGTTCTGGGCTGATTCCTCACCGTTCTCATGATCATTGCAACTCCACGAGGTGAGATCTTGCATGGAGCCCCAGGCCGAGGGAGATTGACAGTTCTTTTGTATTTCTTCCATTTGCGAATAATCGCACCAACTGTTGTCACCTTCTCACCAAGCTGCTTGGCGATGTCTTGTAGCCCATTCCAGC